TGGTTAGAAATTTACATGCAATTAATTCCTTTCACAAATGCATAGATGCTCACGGGAATGATTCATTTTACTTGTAGTGGTGTTAAACAGGAAGCACAGTAGGGGAATTTGTTCTTGAGAAGTCAATGACCACTGAAAGAAAAGGGAAATGGGAGGAGAAGCCTGGAGCCTACAGGAATTCATAATGGTAACAGTGGGGTAAAATCTTTCTAGTTAAAATCTGAAGGGAGGTGCAAAAATGTTAGGACTGGCTCAGAGATGTGCAAGGACAATCTTGGGCCATTCATCCAAGAATGCCGTCCAGTTCTGATCACAGGCTTCATTTGTACTCCCAGCTGTGCACAAGAGTAAACTTTATAGACAGCCAGCAGCCTCATTCAAAACTTTTCCTGTATGATCTCAATTATCAGTAAAAAAAACACTATTAAAGAACCTAGAATTCATGTAATTAAAAGAATTATGGTAACTTCTAAAGATTTAAAGATTACAGTAGCTTTTGTTTTCAACAGTTCCCTATTGTAGCTATTATGTGATGTGCAGTAGAAACACTACATAATGAAAGTAGATTCATTTCAGTTGTAGGTGCATTCCAGTTTCCTTTTTTTCTCCACTGTGATGAAGCTCTTTTAATCAAAGTGATTTCTGTATCTAAGCAAAATTAATTATGCAGAATGTATTAAATGCACATTTAATTTTTTCATGACATATGCTTTGAATAATACAAGTTACTATGGACTTCCCACTTTCAATTTTCTAGGTGAAAGAATTTACTCCAATATATTATGCTTTCTTCGTATTTCTGGTACTTACCAGCTAGAAGTTGCAATACATGCTTTAAATATTAATTGTAAAAGATTTTTAAATCATGAAGTTTTGGAATCAAGGATTTTTATTTTTTTAGTGTTATCTTTATAGCTGAAGGAAGTATTTGTATGCCTCTGTTGTCTTCTCACTTGTGGTACTAATGCTGGGATTGTTCGTTTGAACCAACCCGTTCCCACAACAGCTGCTTTCATCACCAGCATGTAACAAGCAATATCCACATATTCACATATGCAAATACTGAGGATTCTCTTTCCATTAGACTGCAGAAGCCTGAAAGCCTTGACAGCATGCTAAAATGCTAGGATAATACAGCAAACTCAAGAATTATCACCTCCAAAGTCCCAGACCAACAAGACTCAGAGGCACAGACAGCACTATGTAGGTTCTGATAAATAGCAAGCAAAATTCATAGTCATTTTAATTAACTTAAAGCTATAAATACAGTATCTAAGAAGAGGCATAAGCGATATTAATTATTGCTTCTAATGACTGCATTTCAATGCAATAGAAAATATAAAGGTTTGATCCAAACAGAAAGGAAATACCTCTAGAAAGTACTGGAGGATGTTGGCCCAAGTGCTCATTTGCAACTATTCCTGGCAGATTACAGCCAGTATCCCACTCATGTAGTAGAATCATAGAACAGTTATGGTTGGAAAGGACCTTAAGATCATCTAGTTCCAACCCCCCTGACACGGGCAGGGACACCTCCCACTAAACCATGTCACACAAGGCTCTGTCCAGCCTGGCCTTGAACCCCGCCAGGGATGGAGCATTCACAACTTCCTTCGGCAACCCAGTGCCTCACCACCCTTACAGTAAAGAATTTCTTCCTTATATTCAATCTAAACTTCCCCTCTTTAAGTTTTAACCCATTACACCTTGTTCTGTCACTACAGTCCCTAATGAAGACTCTCCAGCATCCTTGTAGGCCACCTTCAGATACTGGAAGGCTGCTATGAGTTCTCCACGCAGCCTTCTCTTCTCCAGGCTGAACAGCTCCAACTTTCTCAGCCTAGTAGCACCATCAAACTTCCTGCAGACAAACTGCTTCTGTATTTATAGAATGGAAACAGATGAATTGCATCTGCTTTGGCAGTAGTGTGTCTTACTGACTCCCAATTTTGACTTCCAAGAAAGCAAACCAAAAGTAAGTAGGGAACAATCATTAATATTGGGGACTACATTAAGGCTATGCTAAACTTTGTCTGAGAAAAGGATTTGCAGCAACACAGTCAGTGCCTGGTGCAAGTGTTTGATGTAGCGATAATAAACCACTGTGACCTATAAATTATGTTTGATTCTTCAGTTTTAAAATTAATGTTATCTGTCTACATGAGGATCACACATTATGGAAGCTGCATCTGTGTGTAGTTACTGAAAGCTGTAATGGCTGTAGATCTCCAGCAGAGAAAGAGACGGAGCCTTATAGATTCAGCCACTGACAATCTGAAGGATGTTTCAGAACTTAGAAGCACATACAATACTGCTGTATTAATATGCCTCAGAAAATAACCAGGGGTGGAAGGGAAATGGAAACAACATTATGCTTCAGATTGGAAACAAAGACTTCTGTACCCTTCTGTCTCTACTATCTGCTTTATGGATACTTTATCCTCCCAGCTATCAAACCAGAGAACCCAGATTTACGTTTGTTTTGTACCATAATGGCCACCATACAACTGGGCAATAGGCAGAGTATAAAGCACACCCACTTAATCTTTCTACCACAACATATATTAAACGTACGTCTTACCATGCAATTTTGACAATCCCTGAGAATCAGAAGTCCATATTTTCCCAGGCTTCATGAGAGCATACGGCCCACACAGAACATATTGAATACACAAATCTACAGAGGAAGATTGTTTTAAGGCCTGGAACTCACAGCAGGAACTGAGTTAAGTTCAGTTCCACTTGGAAGCCATAAAAGCATGGGTTTAAAAAAAGGGCAGCAGTATCTGGTGTTTGATATCTAACAGTACACAACATGTTTATGACATGTATTAGGCTACAAAATCTGAGTTCATAGCCTGGGACAACAAAGCAGAACTCGGCTCTGGCATATGTAGAAGGAAATAGGAAGGCATGTCTTGTAGTGTAATGGATATTGCTGCTCCCTCAAGAGCTGAAGCTGCATAGAGCAGGTGGCTCAATGAAAGACATCAGCGCTTTGGAATAAATTAAAATACAATTAAAAGAGCAATTAAATAGCAGCTGGTTTAAATAAGAGTCAATTCAGATTGTATTCTGCTGTAAGAACAACTCAATTCAGTTGTGCAGAATTATTTCTCAGAATTGAAAGGGTAAGAATGTTTGGACAAAATACATAGTGAGTAACTAAAACTGTGTCAGTCACACAAAACTTGATTAAAAAGGATACCAAAATTGCGAAATCCAGCAGAGGTATCACTTTCAAGCTCCTTGAGAATAGGCTCATTCCAAACTGGACAATCAAGTCCCATGGTATTTTCTGAGGTCTTAAACCACTTTTCCCTAATTCTTAAAAAATACTTGCCTCTTCTTCACATTAAGTAAAATAACCACAGGAGCAACAAGAGAAAACGCCCAAGTATATAATGGAAAGAGGGAAACACACCAACACACACAACAATATATCAAGCCTACAGACTGAAATATAAAACCCCAGATATTTTCTACATTGAATGAGATCAACAGAAAAGAAGTGTTAAAAATGATCATGGTTAATTTCAGAATATGCTTTAAAAGGGCAGAACTGTCTCCAGGAAGAGCAGGAGTTACTTGCCAAGTAGGAAACCAATACCAGCTATTCTTAACCATCATAGTCTCATGTAGTGGAGAAAACTGAGTCATTTGACCAAGTGAACACCACTTCTTAGTTTCATACCTCCAAGACCCCTCCTTCCCCCCCCAACACCCTTTCTCTACAGCAAACACTATTCAAAGCCAAACAGTGGATGGATTCTGTGTTTGAAAAACTTTGTTGGGTTGGGAGATTTTTCTGGGGGCTGGGTGGGTTTGTTTTAATTTTTAATATGAAGTAGAATTAGAAAGAAGAGTTTTGCATTATGCATGACCCATGACAGTTTGAATCAACTCAGCCTATCCTGAATTAGATTTTGGGGTTAATCTTCCAGGCTTGCAAATTTGCATCTCATCTTCCAGACAGTAAAGATACAAAAGGACACTGGTGTCCCATGTAAAACAATCATCTCATACAGAATATTTTCCGAGAAGCGCATTTCCAACATGCAACTAACTGGAACTTCCAGCCACAGTACAACTGATCAAACAATCAGTATAATGTAAAAGAAGGGAAAATAATGAGAAATTACACGTCCTGTACAGTGTTCATTTAGGATTGAAAGACAGCTTGGCAAACATACTGAAAAAGTGGCACTGCCACAAGGGAGGCACACATGGCACAAAACCTCGCCATCTTTCCCTCCCATGCAGTGTGCTCCATGGCTCACTCTCCTCCCAGAGGAAAAGTAAGCTAAGCTACCTTCACTGAATTCCGCAATGTGCTTAGGTGAGAGGGAAAATAAAGAGCACCTCTCAGGCTACTCTTTACCATACATAGCCCGAGACACAAGCAGCCCTCCCATTCCTCTATGCTGGAGTACTCCGGAGATTTGAGTTCTGCCATCAGTCAGTAACTGAAAAGCCAAAGTTCTGTTATTTATTTAAGTGCTTTAAAAATTGACTTTGTTTCTTAAGATTTACCAGATTTAGGTTATGTAGACCTGGTAAGCAAGATTTTTAAAGTTATACACCACGGTTGAAAAACATCAGAGGTACTGTAAAGAATTCTTATGTATGGAACTATTATCAGTTAAATTCCACTTTTCATTGAAAAAAAAAAGAATTCTTCTCAACTCATGTTGAATAAAAGAAAGTAGAAAAATAAGCAATTCCGTTTTGACCACAATTTAGCTTGAACATAAAGGCTAAACCTCATCCCCCAACTATTTGAGTAGTGCAGCTGAAGAGCTGCTCGTGCCCCCTGTAAAACCGATTAAAAATGTAGTTAAATTTTAATTCAACTATCTTTCCAAAACAGGTGTTATCACAGTGTCATATAACATGAAACAAAACAGAGTGCATACATCAGCATGCCATTTTGGCATATGCATAGAGACACATACTGCGCAAACCAAGATTAGTTATACTCAAAAAATAACCGCACTTACCTGTTAATGTAACTTAGAGCAACATAGGTTGGCTGCTGAAGTTCTTGTTTCTCTAATACACGTGGGTCTGTATCTGGAATAAAAAAAATACAAGCAGAGAATTGAGTTTTCTATGTTGACTTTGAAAGTATGAAACTGTATACTGCAAAACAAGATAACAAAGTAGCTCAACCCAGTTTATCCGTACAGCGTACGTTTAGCACAGCACAATTGTTTCCTCATTCATTTGTAAACAGTACTGCATTACTTTGTACAAGAATTTGAAACATCAACAGTGATGTAATTTCCAGCTGTCACGCAAGCTTTCACAATCTCCCTCACAATTATCAGTTTTCACTGCTTTCCATGATTTACAGTGTTAACAGGATCAAGTTTTCTTCTTTTTTAATGTAGCTATTTCTAAATATGGTTGACATATTTTGAAATGTTTCAAGAGCGATCAAATCTCGTCCGCTGGGACTTGATACTTCTGCATGTCTGAGTTTTGCTTTCTCCCTTCTCTACAGCTTATTTTCTGAAGCTCGCAATCAGAAAAGTCATACAAGAATGTACTTGGAAGCAAACTGCTTGCCAAGCAGAGCATTGCCCACCAAAAGCCCTGAAGCAAACACAATCCAATTCCCTGGAGTGCCAACTTTCTCACTCAAATGAAAGAATATGTTCTCAATCACTGCTGGCATTGTCCTTTTCAGTTAAGTTTTGCTTTTATCTAAAAAGTAGTTGTCTTGATTTAAATTTCTGAAACCAAAACTAAAGGAATATGCCCACAGTTTGCATAGTTTTCTTATAGAAAAGAATAGGATTATATAAGTAAGAAGTTCTTTACTGTAAGGGTGGTAAGGCACTGGAATGGGTTGCCCAGGGAAGCTGTGAATGCTCCATCCCTGGTGGTGCTCAAGGCCAGGTTGGACAGAGCCTTGGGTGAAATGGTTTAGTGGGAGGTGTCCCTGCCCATGCCAGGAGGGTTGGAACTTGATGATCTTAAGGTCCTTCCCAACCCTAACTATTCTATGATTCTATATATGAGGTTTCAAATACAGCCTTGCCCTACATTGTAGAAACGCACCTTTAGGAGCTGAGCATAAACAATCTTCAAAAGTTCCCAATGGAAAACGTGCATCATGCCTGTGCAGATTACTTACACTGTCATTAACAACATTCTATGCATTACTTTAAAAGCAATTTTGGGTGCAACTTCTGCATTTTAACTACAAAGAACAGAAACTGCTGTTACTAAATTGCTCCCCACAGTACTGTTGCTATGCATCTTTTATTTCTGAGAAGCATCTACTTTGTGTTGGGGGGGTAGGAACCCAAAGCAAAATCCATATTTTGGATTGTTCTTGCTTCATCCTACAACTTCAAGCATTGTTAAAAGCTCATTATCTAGACACATTTGTCTGACCTGATCAGTTGCTTCCGGTGCTTTTTGTGGGTTTTGTTTTGTTTTCAAACCATGGAACAGTTATTTTGAAATCTCTCTCTGCTGCCCTGCCTTAAAGAAGATTTTTAACTGAAATGCATGGGGACTGTACTCAAGGTAGGTGCATTTGTCACGCCACTGTCCACAGCAGATTATATCCTTATTCAGTGAGCAGGGAATCCCCTGTCCCACCCCCCAAAGCTCAGACCGATCCTATTGATCTTTCTTCCTACATCTGCTCCTGCAAAATTTAGGATTTTGCTAACAGGCCTTTATCAGTACATCACTAAAGAGATAAGCACCTTTAAGGAAGTTCAGAGAAGAGGGATAAAAGCAGAAGTGCCAATTCAACCAGCAATCCCAAACCTGTTATCCTTAAAAGGAGCAGACCTTGCTGGTGCCTGGGGAAAATCAGCAGTAATCACCAGCACACCATGCTCAGTATTAAGCTAACCAAAGACAGCAAAGCATTATCTATCTTCTGTGTTATCTTTGTAATTCACTTCTCTGAGGAAGTTAGGTTCAGGAAACAGACAAAGATCTTTTGCTTGCCTCTGTTTCTAGAAAACCCACAGTCATTTAGCCACCAAGCATACAACTGCTGTCATGGTGAGCTCCACTAGATTTACACCTCGGTGGTTCATGGCCTGCTGTGAAACTGTCTCAATCCTGAATGTCTGCAAAGCATTAATCCCAGCCAGGACTATCTCAGAACTGCCTCAACTCAAGCCAAGGCTTAGTGGTTAAATCACTGCACTTTTGCTAATCCTGTTCTTAAATGGGATTAACTTCCATCTATAAACAACGGCCAAAGGAGACAAAATTTGGGCTGTTCTACATCAGTGCTGCACGTAACTGTGGGAGAGGGCAAGGGAAAGTTCTAACGAAGAGTTCACCCGCCTTCTGCTGCTTGCCACTGGCTCACCATAATGCCAGCTGCAGATGAAAACACAAAGACAAAAACCCCAAAGCCCCATAACTTCTGGTATCAAAGAAGCATGGTATCAAAGCACAGAGCAATTCGCTTGCTGCCACCTGCAGAGTCCCACCTCTCAGTCACGTGCTGCCTGCCACACAAGGAACACACTGCACACAGTCAACTTTGTGTTTCTATCCCTTCCAAATCTATGTATCAGAGTTCACATGTATTTCCAGTCAATAGTGTTGTGTATCCCAATTCCACCAAAAAATTATCTAGGAGGTGGTCAAGAACATCTCTGAGAGCTAAATTCATAGCACTCAAAATGCTTCATACATATTTATTCCTCTTGAAACCAGCTGTTGGGTTACCGGTCATGAGAACGTCACATTCAGTTCTGCACTGTAGCAGAACTATACCTAACCCTATGGATACTGTTTCTCTTACTCAGCTATAGTAACAGAAGACAAAAAGGAAGTACAGAAACTTGACTAGGGCCACCACATAGTTCTCAGGGAAGGCCAGGAAAGAGAAGTGACCAGGCCAGCTGTGCCACGGGTGCCAGCAGCCCTTCCCCAGGTGGAGGGGCATGATGACAGCACCAGCAGTCCCATTACACCCACCTAAAACCTTCACAGCCCTGCTATCCAGGGCACATGTATACTTGGCTCACCAGTGCTATGTTTTTTCTCACCCTCTTAAAATACCACCGGTCTGTTCCTTCCCCCCTCCAGTCGCTCTTCCTCATCCTCTGCCTCACCTCAATGCATTTTCTCTCTCCTGCCCCTTCCTAACCCCAATTCTCACTACTCATCCTGCCCATTCCTCTTCCCTCGAAATGTCCCGACATATGAACAAGTTAAAAATCACAGAGAGATGTCTATAACCACTTGTTCGCTCTTGTACCACATGACTGAACATACAAACAATTCTTCCCCTATACTCTGTCCCCTGCAGCCTCTGACAGCATCCCCACCCCCTTAGGGTACTTTACTTCCAATTTAGGCAGTCTCTACTTACTTTCTTAATGTTAGTTAGCACACATTGAAGTGCAGGGCTAATATACATTATTGTTAGTAACTACAGGAAGACCACAACCATCCCAGGCTTGCTTTAAAGGAAAAAATAAATAAATAAAATTACAGTAAGAAGCATTTTTTTCAGCATCTCTGTTTTCAGACAGCTGACACAGCTACAATGAGATTAAACAGCAGTATTCCCTGATGCCGAACTTTCAAGCCTGGACTATCAGTGCTCTGCTTCTCTCACACCTAAACACATTCATACAGTCTCTAGCACAGTTGTCTAACACCATGCATGCTGCCCAAAGCTACAGTCTCCAAACACGTTACCCCACTGACCAATATGTTATGGATCAATCAACACTCCCAACTGTCTGACTTTTGGATGAGGAGCAGAGGAGACAAAAATCTGTTGTTCAGTTTCACAAAATGGCCCTGTGTAATGTTAAATGTTTAGTCAATATTTCCTCAAGCACCCGTAGGTTGGTCAAAGTCAGCCAGAAGTAGCCTAAATAGTTTCCAAACAGACACCTATAATTGATTAAACACTCACAGATGACAAGTCTTTTTCCTGAAAAGCATTTAGGTACAGCCTAGGACTAATAATGAGCTCCCCTTCTTGTAAAAGAAACATCCAGACAGCACACGCAAGCAAACTACAGATTTTGAAGGGACTGGTTGATTAGCATTAACTAGTTACCCTCACTTCTTGAATTAACACAGGCTACCAAAGACTTGCTAGTTCATTAGTTCATTAGTTTTGCTGTAACACTTTAAATCTGTTAGAAGAAATTGCCATCCACTAAACATTAGCTGCCTTCAGTACTTGTCTCTTCTTGTAAGCATTATGTCCCACAGTGAGAAGAGAAGCACTATGTACTTTCTGCAATGACATAGGGGTTTTTTTTGGTTTTTTTTGGGTTTTTTTTTAACTGTGTCCTCTTATTTTACTGTGATGTTAGATTTTGAAAACAATGGTGTGCTGGTTTCAGCACCACAACAGCTGTTTCTTTTTCTTTAATGGAATATTATTAAAATAAATTTTATTTCATCCAAACTACCTCAGGGTTTTGTTCTTTACTATTAAAAAGACTGAAGTGTGGGTGCTAACAACCACGAGAGTTACTCAACTAATCATCTATAGGATTAGACACCTCCAATTTTTCAGATCCACAACCTGTCTCATACCAGGCAACCAGACAAGTAGTACAAATGTGTCATTAAGGGTAAGACCATCAACTGCACTGTGCCATCTCTGAACTACTCAGATGAAGCCAGGAATTTTCTGTGGAGCATGTCCTGACAAAATGAATCACGGACTACTGAACCAAGCTACGACCGCTGTACCAACTCACTCCGCGCAGAGATAACTTGCAGCTTTAAAATGCTGCAAAATCCTAAGAGCAAATAATAAAAAAGGCATGCACATCCCTCAGCCTTCAGCAATTATATGACTTGATTCAACATGAGTATTTCAGCACAAAATGACATGCTACATCTTCATTATTACATAATGGAGCAGTCAGTTTTGCCCTACAAGACACAAGGAAGTTATTATAAGCAGCTTCACATGAGAACTTCACTTTCATAAAGTCTCTGCATTTAAATCGCTGTGAAAAATCACTGTTGACCTTATAAAGGGCACACAGAAAAGTGCTAACAAGTTTCAGGGGCATTATTTCACAATTGCAAGCTTTCTTCTTACAGGG